CCAGAGGATGTGTCTAGTGATGAAGAACTTGTCCAGTATGTGTGAGATTCTGGGTTCAATCCCCAGTATTTCAAAAGGAAAACAAAACTGGAAAAGCTGTAATTATAACCAGACTAGGATGGGTGTGCTGGTGCTTGCCTTGAGGCGTGCAGATGCAAGGTCAAGGGCATTCTGGTCTACACAGCCCGTTCCTGGACAGCCAGGGCTGCTTGGAGAGATCCTGTCTCAAAAAAATGAGAAATGGAGGGGAAAATAAAACAAACAGGCAAAATAGAAACTGGTTAGGATAGGTGTGTGTGAGGGGCGACTGCTGGGATTCTAAGCCTAGTTTTTCAAGCTAGTAGTACGAACATTGGAAAGGCCATTGAAACAGCCCTGGGAAGGGGTTAATGTAATGAATCCTCTTTCAGACATTGTTCTGTGAAACATTGGCAACATTTGGCAGTAGTGCCTAGCATGGATACCTCAGAGGCAAGGAGGAGCTCCTCTGTGAAAGTCACATCTGGGGGGGACAGTGGTTTATGTGTACAGATGGAGACGCACATATAAGCAGTAAGACTACATTAAGTGTCTGTGGTGTTTACTGAAAACCCTATGCTGCAAGTCTCATTAGCTTCTACAGAAGAGAAGTAGGTCGGACTGGTACTGTTGTTCAGTTTGCATCACAGTTTAAATTTTCTTCTCCTCCTCCTCCTCCTCCTCTTCTTCTTCTTCCTCTTTTTTTGTTTTTTTGAGACAGGGTTTCTCTGTGTAGTTTTGGTGCCTGTCTTGGATCTCACTCTGTAGAAAAGGCTGGCCTCCTGAGTGCTGGGATTAAAGGCATGCGTGTGCCACCACTGCCTGGCTTCTTCTCTTTTTTTGACTAGAACTACATATGGCTCAAACATATAATCTAAAATATTCAACATTACTAAACCTCCTATCAAGATAAGATTATATTGAGTCATCTTTTCCTGCTCCTCTTTTATACACAAAACTATATATACTCCAGGCATAGCTTTGTGGTATAATGGTTCTATAAAGGAACCTGAAAGTTTGTGAATCTCTGGACCTATGGAATAGTGCAGTGGGTTCCCAGTCATGTTTCTTTATTTCTGCTGTACCACTGGAGAGGCCTGCACCTAGAATTCTAGCAAGTAGGCAATAATAATAACAGTAGTAGCAGTAGTAAGAAGGAAAAGGAGGAGAAGAAGAAGAGAATGAAAAGAGACGGGTCCAGTCTGTCTTGAAGAAGGACTAGAAAGAGCTGATGAGACTGTTCAGTAAGTAAAGCCTCAGCACACCTGGGTTTCACTCTTCTAGGATGAAGGCAGAGAACAGACACCTAAAATTGTCACCTGACCTCTACATGTACACCTTGGTACCCCCTGCCATATACTCAAGAAATAAATTGGGTGAAGTTTTTTTTTGTTGTTTGTTTTTGATAAGAAAAAAAGAAGCCTAGTGAAGTCCTGTTTTCCTGCATATACCCAGCATTGGACAATCCACCTGTGTTGGGAGTGCTTATGACACATTGTCTACTCCATACTCAGCAGAAGCAGCTGTTGACCTTACCCATCCACAATGGCAGCAGTTGCAGGGATGCCCACCCATCCCCTGCCATCATCAAGTAATGGCATTATGAATATGTATAAGCTGCTTATCTGCCAGTCCTCTATGCCCAGAGGCAGGATAAGAGCACTGGCTGCTCTTCCAGAGATCCTGGGTTCAATTCCCAGCACCCACATGGTGGCACACAACTGTCTATAAGTGTAGCCCCATGGGATCAGATGTCCTTTTCTGGTGTGCAGATGTACATGCAGAGAAAACACCCATATACACAAAATAAATAAGTTTTAAAAAATCTAAAACAATAAAAATGTGGTACAATCAAGAGAATCAGAGATGGGATATATATAGCTCAGTGGTAGAGCACTTGCCCTGGTTTCATCCTTAAGGGGTATCAGTGAATCTGGCAATGAGTAAAAATTACTCAGTTTAATCATTTGAATAATAGTGAAAAATAGACTGGAAAAAAAATAGCAGATTCTCCAAATGACAAGGGAAACTAATGAAAAAACCTGGGCATTGATTGCTACTACCTTCTGTTCCAAGAAATTAATCATCAAATGTACCAAATTAGGCAAAAGATAGTAGCATAAAAATTCAAGAAACTAAGCCAGGTGTGGTGGCACATGCCTTTTATCCCAGCACTCAGGAGGCAGGTAGATCTCTTGAGTTCAGTTTGAGGCCAGCCTGGTCTACAAAGCTAGTTCCAGGACAGCCAAGACTGTTACACAAAGAAGCCCTGTCTTGAAAAACAAAACAAACAAACTGAACTGAAAATTCCAAACATGTGAAAAATGTTCAAACATTTCATAGCTAAACTCCTGTTTTCAAGTTAACAGGAACTTTTAGAAACAAAGATAAAGATCTTGAAAGCAGCAGAAAGGTACTGAGCACTCTTTCAGGGAATGAATGACAGCGTGTTTCTGACAGAAACCGGAGCACATGCAATGCAGGAGCAGGTATTTTCTCAGGGCTAACAGGAAATCAGTGACAATGGCTAACAGTGATGGCAAAGCTGTCCAGGAATAGAAGAGACACAAATTCTTTTTAGAGTTTATTTCAAGGACAAATAAGAGCATTTGTATCTGGTGGACAGACCCTTGGAAACAGCTAACAGAAAATCTCCCAAAAGGTGAGATGAGATGTAACAGAAGGGGGCTTTGGATTTGGAATTTCAACAATGGAAGAACAAAAAGGCATAAATATTATAGACTATCCTCCTAATGAGTTTTTAAACCACATTTGATTAACAGAGCAAAAACTCTAGTATTACCTGATAAATACCTTAAAGTATGAATAAGAAATAAATCTGACACCTTTTATGCCCATGTGTTGGTGCGTGTGCAGGTGCATATTACATATTTATGTGGAGGCCTGAGAACAACCTTAGGTGCCATCCTCAGGAACACTATCCACCTCCTTTGAAACAAGGTCTCTAGTTGCCCTGAAGCTCACCATTGGGCTAGGCTGCCTGGCCAGTTTCTACTTCCCTAGCACTGGAATTACAAGCAGGCATGTCCCCATGGATTGTAGGGACCAAACACAGGTCTCCATGGACCTGCTTTACAAACTACTGAGCTATCTCCACAGCCCTAGGACATTGTATTTTAAAGTGGGGTTAGGTGTTCAGAATAGAGCTCAGCAGTCATGTGTTTGCCTAGAATGTTTGAATCATAAGTTCCACTGCAGAAAATCAAAGTAAAGTGGGGGTAGGTCACGGATCGTAAGTGAAAATCAAAGTTCGGTAGTTTATTCTATTGTTCTGTCTCTATTGCTGTTAGTGATAGATGCCAGTACTTACAGCAACTACTGAGCAGCTGTACAAAGCAATGAATTTCTAAACTGTTTTAGAAATTTGGAAGATATTCGTATAGTCCATATGATAGCAAGAAAAGAGGATCCAAGATAAGAACTCTCGATTTTTTGTCTTTTCTTTCTTCTTTTAAGATTTGTTTATTTTTTTTATTTCATGGGTGTTTCTGCCTATATGTCACTGTATGTGTATGCAGTGCCTGTGGATGATCCCCTAGAACTAGATCTATATGCTACAACATGGGTGCTGGGAATCAAATGTAGGTCCTCTGCAAGAAAGGTAGGTGCTCTTAACCTTTGAGATATCTCCAACCCTTCCCGTTTGGTTTTTGAGACTGGATCTCCTATAGCTGGCCTCAAACTCACTATGTAGCTAGAGCTGACCTTGAACTCTGACTGCTACTGTCTCCCCAGTATTAGAATTACAGGCATTGTGCTACTGTGCCTGGCTCACCTTTTCTTGTTTTCAAAAGACATTAGTATTTCTAAGACCTATTTTCTTATTCTTTCAACACTTTTTCTTTTGGATTGTTAACCTTACAAGACTTACTGATAACCGGGCCTAGGCGTAATGGCTGAGGCCTGTAATCACATCTTTTATCAGACTGAGGTAAGAGGATCAGGAGTTCAAGACCAGTGTCTGTTATATGAGAGCCTGTCTTAAAAAAAGAAGCAAGCCACAGGGCATGCAGCTCAATTGGTAGCATGCTTATCCAGCATCCTAAAAGCCTAGGTTTGCACCACATAAACTTGATATAGCAGTACAATTCTGTAATCCTAGCACTTAGAAGTTGGAGACAGGAAATTCAGAATCATCTTCATATATGCAGTGATTTCCAGGCCAACCCTGGCTACACGAGATCCTGTAACAAAAAAGAGTCCCTGATTTGCAGGAGTTATTCATATACTCTCTTTGTATTTGAGATGAAGCTCAATTATCTTCTTTTGTTTGGCAATTGCCTTTTGGATTTTGTGACTTTGCTTTTCTTTAGTTGTAGTTTTTGTGGTTCTGGATTTTGTACCAGTCAAAAAACCTCCACATTCATAGTGCTTCTAGGCCAGGCTCATATTGGCATCTGAAGTACCTCCTCTATGGAGAGGAGTTTTGCTAGCTTGGGCTTATGACTTTATTTTCTGTGGATCTCAGCCTTGTTGGGAATCTAGGTCACTGTTAGAACTGGAGCAGCCTAATCTCACACTCTCTGTAAGTGGTTCTCTACAGGGAAAGGAAGTAAGGCCAGACATTGAATGAGCTGGCTCTTGCCCCATCTCTCAGCAACCTTTATTCCAGGGATAGACTATAGCAGAAGAGATTTTTGTCCTCTTTGTTTTCAGGGAGTAGGTGTTTGGGTGACAGAAGCTCTTTGTTGGTGTCAAGGGAAAGGAGACCAAACTTTAAGGACTGTTTCCTTCCACCAATCATCAAGGCAACCCCTCCTTAGATTGCTTCAGCAGGACAAGTGCTCCTAGAACTGCTGTGATCACAGGGAGAGTGCAGGGCAGTGTCCATCCTCAACGGCATCGACCTTCAGGATTCTTCAGAATGGAGTCACGGCTCTTTCAGCTGAGCCATGTATGTTTAAAATAGTTTTAAAAACACATTTGCTTAGGATAATTCTCATTGATTCTCCACTCTTTAGGAATAACCAGGCAAGAAGAAGAAGGAAAGGCTGCTGTGGGTGTGACAGGAAATGACATCACTACCCCACCAAACAAGGAGCTACCACCAAGCCCAGAAAAGAAAGCAAAGGTAGGTGCTTGAATGAGTGGTAGTAATCCTCTTCTGTAATTTTTAAAATTAGGACCTTCTGCTGTTATTGCTTGAATCATGAATCCAGTGTCTTTTTTTCTGAGCTATCTTGTCTTTCTTCAAATTTAGATGTTCTTAGAAAATGTATTCCTATTTTCTCACATGACCTATCCCAAATGTTAAAATCTCTTGCCTTTGCACTTTTATAGTATATCTGTTTAAAATGTTCATTACATATTTGTTTTCTGTGCTGGAGGTTGACCCTAGGGTTTTGTGATTCCTAGGCAAGCACTCTGCTACTGTGCCCATGGCTTTTTCAGACCGGGTCTTGACATGCTCACCATAGTCAATGTATAAATGACTTCCCTTACAACAAAAAGCAATTGTAGACTTATCTGAAATCTGTTCATGAAAAGGAAATGAAGGTTTTCCAGATAGTTAATAGGTTCAAAGCTTCCTCTTGTACTTCATAAATACATAGGCGCCACATTTTAGGTACAGTTATGCTGTCTTGTCAAGACATAGGTAAGAAATCAGGGTGTGGTGCCTGTACCTGTAATCTTAGCAGTTTGGAAGCCTGAGGCTAGAGGATCTTAAGCTGTATGCCATCCTGGGTAACATAGCTAGATCCTATTTAACAAAAAATAAATAAATAAATAAAAATGAAGTAGGATCCAGTCAATATTGATTTAATCACTTGCTGATGGCTTTATTTATAGAGTTCTTATAGCCACCAAATGTTAACTAATGACAAAGCTGTTATTAAATTAAATTGTTCAGGAACCAAGCTGCTGGAATTGGTCCCTGTGATTGAGAAGCATTTTCACAGACCTGAGGGTGTAGCTCAGTAGTAGAGCATGTGCTTAGCATGCCTAAGACCTTGGGTTCAACTAAGAATAAAGAAGAAAATTATAGTTTCTATCTCCATTTTGGTATCACTTTGCTTTTTACTGAGCTCAGAAGAAAGGAATGCTAATTTTCAGTTGCATCAATCCTCATTGCTTATAATTTTACTTTGAATTGTGCAATTTATACTTTATTTTAATTTGTTTTTATTCTTGTCTGTGTGTTTGATGTTCTTTAAAAATTAAAAATTAAAAATTAAACAACCATCAACCTAAAGCCTTTGGTCACCACTCAACCTGCCAAGACTTCAACATCGAAAGCCAAAACACAGCCCACTTCTCTCCCTAAGCAACCAGCTCCCACCACTTCTGGTGGGGTGAATAAAAAGCCCATGAGCCTGGCGTCAGGCTCAGTGCCAGCTGCCCCACCCAAACGCCCTGCCGCTGCCACTGCTACTGCCAGGCCTTCCACCCTACCTGGAAGAGATGTGAAACCAAAGGTGAGTAGCCACCCATCTCTGTGCCAGGAAAAGATGCCCTCTGAGCTTCAGGTCAATACACAGGCTCTTGGTTGCTACAGATGACGAACTGGTGGACCTGAGAAAGGGTAGGAGAAGGGCAAATAGGTGCTTTGAACGTCAGTTTGGGTGCCCATTGGTGAGATCATAGCACTTGAAAACCTTTTATTCTTTTTACCTTTTTGTCTGACCTGGTCAGAAGCAATATTCCATCTACTTTCATTCTTTTGTTTTTCTTTTTTTTTTTTTTTTTCCCCCAAGACAGGGTTTCTTTGTGTAGCCCAGGCTGTCCCAGAACATGCTCTGTAGACCGGGCTGGCTTCAACTCAGAACTCAGAGAGAGATCTGCCTGCCTCCGCCTCTGAGTGCTGGGATTAAAGGTGTGCACCACCACTGCTTAACTTCTTCCTTTTTCTTAACTGTTCCTTACTCTTCACCTAGTTATGTACTCTCATCAGTTTGCTAGACTTCACAGACTAATCAGATATTGTTTGAGGTGGGTCACAATTTTTATTTCCAATTCAATTATTTGCTTTTCTCTTTAATCACCCTTTAGAATAAAGTTTCCGCATTACTTAGCAACATGCTGACCTTTCCAGCTGAGCTCAACAGGGTCCAGGATCATGTGACACCTTGCCTTGCTTCCAGCTGTAGGCCAATTGTCACTGGGCTACTTGTGATGTTCATCCTTCCAGTTCCCAGTTAGCGCTGTCCTTGCTTTCAGATATTCCTGGAGGAGGAGGAGGAGGAGGAGGAGGAGAGGCTGAAGGCTGTAGCTGCTACTGCCTTCCCTACGTTCTTGTTCTGTTTGAGAAGAGCCTTTAGCCTAGCTCTTTATCTTCAAATTCATGGTGGGAAAGGGTTCCCATGTTCAGGTGAAAGTGTTCTACTTAAAGTCACCCTAGGGATTGTAGTCTTAAACTGGAACCTTGGCTAAGAAGCTGAGAAATCCTGTCAGACTAGAAATGGTGTTGTCTCATAGGCTTTCTTTCTGAACATTATCTGTCTGGTTGGCTCCCATTCTGATCTTTAGGAAACGATTTGATTAAGAGGGTAGAAGGAAGGTGACTGGCATCCTGGATAGTAGGTCCTCACTAAGGCTTTGAACAGTGCTCCTGATGAGGAAAAGGAGGCTGCAGGGATGTGGAAGTGTGGAAGTGTACTAGACTACTTTCTTTTCTCTTCTCTCTTGGCTTTCCAATACAGGGTTTCTCTGTGTAGCCTTGACTGTCCTGAAACTCTGTAGACCAGGCTGGCCTCGAACTCACAGAGATCAGCCTGCCTCGGCCCTCCAAGTGCAGGGATTAAAGGCCACCACTGTCTTTTAAAGGATTGAGCCACCATTGCCTGGCTATATACTAGTTTCTTGATACATTTAATTACTTGGATATTCTCAACCATCCATAATATAAATATTGTTAACTTCATTTTTTAATTTTGGAAGTTTAAGCTCAGTCAAGTTGCCTTCCTAAATAAAGTCCATGCCAGTAAGTGACAGAGGCAAGGTTTGAGCCTAGGTCTAACCACATTTCTGATGTTTGGGCCCCTACAGCACTGTTTTATTATGGCTTTTTGCTATGTGGTGTTTCAGCAGCAGTTTATAGGCAACTGGCGTCAAGATGTTTACCCAAGCCCAGTGTGCAGGAGGTTGAGGTGGGAAGGTTATGAGTTCCAGGCTAATGTGAGCTACATAGCTTAAAAGAGTGACCAGTATTATAAATGTTCCTCTTGTTTGTCTTTCAGATAAAGATAAATTAAAACATTTTAAGAGAGTGATGCACTAAAGTCTAGTTAGGCCGTTTTTGCCCTTAAAGTAGTAGATTTACAGAAGCATACTGTAAATGGAAAATGAAAAACCTGTTTAGAAAATGAAATGAGAACCAACAATTTAACTGTGGCTAAAAGAGCAGTCTATCCCAGCAACTTTTGAGGTCTGATAGAAATAATAAGACTCTGTTAGATTGTTATTTTATTTTATTTTTTTAGATTGTTCTTAATCATAGTTATAATGTTTGCTTTGGTCCTCAAAATGTTTTGTTTTGCCTGGCGGTGGTGGGGCATGCCTTTAATCCCAGCACTCGAGAGACAGAGGCAGGCGGATCTCTGTGAGTTCAAGGTCAGCCTGGGCTACAGAGGGAGTTCCAGGACAGGCTCCAAAGCTACACAGAGAAACCCTGTCTCGAAAAAAAAAACCAAAAAAAAAAGTTTTGTTTTGTTTTGTGACAAAGACTCACTGTGTAGCTCTGGCAAGCCTGGAACACACTATATAGAGCAGACTGGCACCAGACTAATAGAGATCTAACTATGCTCTGCCTGGTCCTCATTTCTTTTTTTTTTTTTTAAGATTTATTTATTTATTATGTATACAATGTTCTGTCTGCATGCATCCCTGCAGGCCAGAAGAGGGAGCCAGATCTCATTACAGATGGTTGTGAGCCACCATGTGGTTCCTGGGAATTGAACTCAGGACCTCTGGAAGAACAGCCGGTGTTCTTAACCTCTGAGCCATCTCTCCAGCCCCCTGGTCCTCATTTCTTGAACAGGGTCTGGAGAGATGGCTCAGGGATTAAAGAGTGCATGCTGTTCTTCAGAAGCATCCACACTGGGTCTCTGCAGGTACCTACACATACATCACACACACACACACACACACACACACACACACACACACACACACACACACTCACACACGCTGGTAAAATGGTTCAGTGGTTAGGAGCACTTGTTGCTTTTGAGAGCATCTCAGTTCAGTTCTCAGCACTAACATAAATGGCTTATAACCATCTGTTCCTTCAGTTCCAGGGGGTCTGCAGCCCTCTTCTCACTTTCCATGGATATCAAGCATGCATATTGTGCACATATGTACATTCAGGCAAAGCATTCATACACCTAAAATACATAAATCTAAAAGAAATCGTAGTAAAATTTCAGAGCAAACTGAAAAGGATGCAGGTTCCTCATTCTGACCTTGAGGTTCTCCATAGGCAGTTAGACTTGATTTTATAGGATACTAACCCGTAATTCTATTTTTATTATTATTATTTTTTTGGTTTTTGAGACAGAGTTTGTTTGTGTAGCCCTGACTATTCTGGAACTCGCTCTGTAGACCAAGATGTTTTGTGTCTTTTGGTTTCTCTTTTCTCCCCCTCCCCGCCATCCTTAATTTTTAACACTACCTTAACTGACCCTGATTTGAACGTTGTCCTGTGCCTGATGTTGGTTATGCGTGACCCTTTTTGTTGTCTCTCTTCTGTCTTCCCATGCTCAAATTCCCTAATACCACATCATCAAAACTGGGCTGCAGCAATGCTGTTTTCTGATCTTTATTCAGATAAAGAAGTAAAGTGTACATGGACCCAGTAATCTTCCCAAGGACACACTGTGCCTTAGGAACCAGACTCAGGCTACAAGCTCAGGCTCTCACTCAGATTTGACTGGTAGCTACTCACCTGCAAGAGTGCTGTCCTGTCGCACTGCTCTGGGTAAATGCTAACCAAGAGAATGGCTAAACATAACTTTTAGCTTCTGGTTCATATGTTTATTAAATCTTACCAGGAAAAAATTGGTTGTGGTAAGAAACATCCTTTGAGGTTACACTCCCAGTGGATTGATGGAGACTGACTCCCATGTCCTAATCCTACCTGGCCACTTGCTCTGGAGGTCTTTCTTGTTTTGTTTTTGTTTTGTGGTCTCTATCTGTGGATAAGTTTGTTCTGGAACTCACTGTGTAGCTTGTGCTAGCCTCAAACTCAGAACAGTCTTCTTACCCTAAGCCTTCCAAGTGTGCTGATATCACAAGCATCAAACACCTTGCCCAAATTATCTAGATTACTTGACTTAGAAGCATGTATTTTCTAGTTACTCTCTGCAGAGTCCATAGTGTCGTCTATTTTCTGGGCATGCTTATAAAACCCTATGGAGCCATCACTGACCTGCAGCTCTTACCTACACGTTCCCATTTCCAGCCAGTTACAGAGGCTAAGATTTCTGAAAAGCGGACCTCACCTTCCAAGCCTGCATCCACCCCAGCCCTCAGACCTGGACCTAAAACCACACCAACTGTCTCAAAAGCCACATCTCCCTCAACTCTTGTTTCCACTGGGCCAAGCAGTAGAAGTCCTGCCACACCTCTGCCTAAGAGGCCCATCTGTGAGTATTACATAGTCTTCCTCCCATGGGAACCAGTGGGAAGAGAATAGGCCTTTCCCTTTGCTTCTGGCTGTAGCACTGACAGTATAGTGATTTGTTTATGCAACAACCCTCAGTGTTAGGTACCTTGTACAGTGGTAGCCAGGCAGGCCCTGGGTTTAGCAAACCCTCACCACTGAGTGAGCTTAGCAGCTGTATGTATCAGAAAAATCTTGAGCAAAGGTGATGCTTGTGAATTCTCAGATGAGTTAGTTACTCCTTTGTTAGTGACTCCATAGAGTGTGTCCATGAGTCCAGCCCCATGGTAAAACACTTCCAGTGTGTGCGAAGCCCTAGGTTTAGTCTCCACCATTCAAAAAAGAGATAAGCTACTTCGCATAAGTCATTATTGAGACTGATGAAAACGAGATGCAGTGCTGGCCTTGTTTACTGTGAGCACAGTCTTCATGTGACTATTTAATTTTTGTACTATGTCCCAGATACAAGTGCAGTCACTAGCTCAAAGTAGGCATTCTGTAATTGTCAAATGAATGATGAATCTCAGCAGGTCATCTCGTTAAGTATACTACTTTGTTTGTGCAGCCACTAAAACAGAGGGAAAACCTGCTGATGTCAAAAGGATGACTGCCAAGTCTGCACCAGGTAATACCCAGTTTACCTAACGCCTGACGGAGCCCGGTGAGCCTGCCCTCCCTCCCCAACTCTAAGACTCCCCTTTTCCCATGAACTCCTGGTACTTCTCATTGCTTTGCAGCTGACTTGAGTCGCTCAAAGACCACCTCTACCAGTTCTGTGAAGAGAAACACCACTCCCACTGGGCCAGCACCCCCAGGAGGGACGACTTCCACCCGAGTCAAGCCCACATCTGTACCTTCCCGGCCTTCTGGGGCAGTTTCTGTGGACAAGAAGCCCACCTCGGCTAAGCCTAGTTCTTCTGCTCCCAGGCTGAGCCGCCTGACCACCACTGCCTCTGCCCCTGATCTGAAGAATGTTCGCTCCAAGATTGGCTCTACAGAAAATATCAAGCACCAGCCTGGAGGAGGCCGGGTGAGTCCAGGAGCTGGGGGATCTTAGCTTGCTGGCTTCTGCTTCTCTTCTGCCTCGTCCAGCCACCAAAGAGGGCTTTTAGGATCTTGCATTCAGGACCAGGGATTTCAGTTGGGCTTCTGGCACTGCAGTATCAGGAAGACCCAGGCTCAGCTCTGTTCTTTCTTTCTCTCCCCCATAGCAGTACAAGAGCTACTGTTCAGTATGTTGGGGTAGAAAGTGTCGTCTATTTATTTTACAAAAATTCTAGAAAGTGGATGTAGTGGTTCCTGCCTATAATGTGAACACTCGGGAGAGAGAGAAACCAGAATCACTATGAGTTTGAAGCCAGCTGCTGCAGGGGTTAGGGAACATGGAGAGAGAGCTTCAGAAACTATGAGGGTAAGAGACACCGGACATGAACCCAGTTATTTATGGCTCTTAACAGACACACTTATTTCTCCATCCCATGAGGTGGGAGGAGTCTGTCCAAAAGAAAACTGGGGTGCCCTCTAGTGTCCAAGAGAAGCTCTGCTGTGAAGTGAACCATACACAGGGCTGGAGAGATGGCTCAGTGGTTAAGAGCACTGACTGCTCTTCCAAAGGACCTGGGTTCAAGTTCCAGCACCCACAGGGCAGCTCATGACTGTCTACAATTCCAGTTCCAGGGGACCTGCCACCCATGGCAAAATATCAATGCACATCAAACAAACAAATAAGGAAGGAAGGAAGGAAGGAAGGAAGGAAGGAAGGAAGGAAGGGAGGGAGGGAGGGAGGGAGGGAGGGAAGGGAAGGGAGGAAAGGAAGGAAGGAAAGGATAGGAAGGAAAGGAAGGAAGGAAGGAAAGAAAAAGAAAGAAAGAAAGAAAGAAAGAAAGAAAGAAAGAAAGAAAGAAAGAAAGAAAGAGAAAGAAAGAAAGAAATGAGCCATACATAGTGCTTCACATTAAGGAAGTTCTGAAGCTGGGTGTGGTGGCCCAACTTTAATTCCATCAGAGGAAGGCAGTGGCAGGAGGATCTCTGTGAGTTTGAGGCCAGTCTGGTCTACAGAGTGAGATCCAGGACTACATAGAAAAACTTTGCCCTTTTTGGGAGGGTGGGAGGGGGCAGGATGACAGAGAACATTCTGGGGCCAACAAGATAACTGGGATAAAAGTACTGGCCACCAAAACTGAAATCCTGTGATGGGGGAGAAAAATGACTCCTACAGGTTTTCTTCTAACCTCCACATATGTGCTGTAGCACAAGTGTTTATATGCACACATGCACATACACAATAAATAACTTTTAAAAAGAATATTCTGTTTGCATGATCACAGATGGCTGCCTTAAGTGTTAGCAGTTGTGGGGAACCCAGAATGTGGAAGAATTGGTGGCCAAGTTCCCCTGAGACTGTCTCATCCCTGGAGTAGTTACAGTCCCAGTTCGTCCTTTGCTAGCACTTGAACTATTCTATCAGCATCCAAAGTTAGGATACTTCAGTTTCATTAGTCCAAAGCTCTTAGAATTGAGTAGGGGGCCTGGAAAGATGAATCAGTAGTAAGAACCCAGGCTTAGTTCCCAGAACCTACATCTGTCACCATTTGTATGTGACTCCAGTTCCAGCAAGCCCAGTGCCTGCTTCTGGTCTCTGTGGGCACCAGGCATGCACATGGTGTGTTTATGCAAAACACCCATACACATAAAATTAAAAAAAAAATCGAATAGGAACAAGAACACAGCACAATCATGGTTCATTTGGATGACAAACTAGGATCATTCTGGAATGAGGGCTTCAGAGTTACTTTTGGTAAACAGTAGTTGCTGTGGATAACCAGCCCAGTATCTGGACTGAGCCACAGATGACCCTTCTCCCCATCTATGATCTTCTTACTTTTTCTTGCTATGAAAGCTTAAGAGGTTCTAAGTTACTTGGGCTAGTGATTGGGTTGTCTGTTGTCTGTGTGGGCACCGTGATTTAAAATGACAGTCTCACACATGCTCACAAAGAAAACATCAATGTGATCTTCTTAGCCTTCAGACCTTTTCTCCATCAATGTATGATCTCCTCTTTGTTACAGCTCTGGCCTGTGATTCCTCTCCCTGTGCCCTGGCTCAGGGATCCCTGAGGACCTAGCCTAGCAGTGTGCTGTCCTAGGGACAAGGGTGGCCTGCTTCTCTCTGCCTGGCATCCTGGCCGTGGTTTTTGCTTTGTTTTCCTCCCACCCTCCTCTGTCCTTGGCATTTGGACTCTCATCTTTGTTTGAAATTTGCACACACACCCCCTTTATCTCCATCCAGGCCAAAATAGAGAAAAAAACAGAGGCACCTGCCACAGCTGGGAAGCCTGAACCTAATGCAGTCACTAAAGCAGCTGGCTCCATTGCGAGTGCACAGAGACCGTCTGCTGGGAAAGTGAGTTTTATTTAGGTTTCCCTCCTTGAGGTAAAGTGGTGACATCATTCTTCTGGCCTGAGTCATTTTCCCTTCTATTTTACTTTGCTCCTGGTTTTAACTGGTTCTTGCTTCTTCCTGTGTTCCTTCCTCTAGTTAATGACTCAGCCGTCAGTTTTTATATTATCCCCAAAAGCTAACCAAGTTGTGAGCTCATACTCCATTGGGGGCTACTTACTCAGCCTGATGAAGGGAACTTGCAAACTGTCAGTCACTTCCTTGACATTTGAAACTCACTTAGTATGCATAGTATGCATACAAATCCATCATGCCCAGGCTCTTCCTCAGAAGACAAGGCAGGGGCGGTACCCAGAGCCCTGCCACCCTGTCTTCTGACCTTACAAAGTGTGGCTGGCTACCGGGTCTGTCTTTTTTTTTTTTTTTCCTGGAGATGGCTTTTAAAGCCAAGGCTTTGTGCACTACTACTGAGCTATGTCATATGATACCCCTCCCCCATTCATCTCTTGGTGGGATATTAGGATTCTCATCGATGGTGGAAAACCACCTTGTAGGGAATAGTGTCTGCTGAAAGGCTGAAACCTCAGCTTTGTTCTGAATTTCACACACTGAAAAATAGGCCCCTGCTATCTGCTGTAGCAGGCAGGTGGGTTGCCTGGACTCTGGCCCTTAGGGACCAAGATCAGTAGTTTCTCAACCCCGGGAACTGCTATGATGGAGGTAATGAGATAATGAAAGCTGTCTTCGGGTGGGTCATCACTAAAGCACGTGGAGTCCCATGGTTTAGACAGCTCACTGTAGTTTACTAACAGCAGTCCACTGTTAAAGTCATGAAGGAAGTTGGGAAATGAATGAAAAGAACATGGTAAGGTGTCTGGTCTGAATTAGAGTTCCTCAGGGTGTTCTCTGTGTTCTACAGGCAGCACAGCATATTTCATTTGCAAAGATCCTCTAGTTCTAAGGAGAGGGAGGGATGGAAGAAAGGACCTGGAAGTGTTTGTTCTTGAGAGCCAAAGAAGAACTCTGTATGCTCCTCAGTTCCAGGCTAGGGTATTGCAGTGTGGTATGGTTGTGCCCTCCTGAATTGTCCATCACTAACACCATTTTGGTCTGTTCTGTTTGTACATGCAACTCACTGGACATAGGATTATACTCTAGAGGATTGGAAGGATCGTAAAGCCAGATATGCTGGCCATAATCCCAGCAGTGTTATAAGTGAGACAGGAGAATCAGGAATTTGAGGCCTGCTTGGGGTACATAGCAAGTCCCAGGTCTGCTTATCTACATAGTGAAACCCTATTTCCTCCTCCTCCTCCTCCTCCTCCTCCTCCTCCTCCTCCTCCCTCTTCTCTTCCCCCTCCTCCTCCTCCTCTTACTCCTCTTCCTCCTCTTCCTCCTTCCTTCTTCCTTCTGTTTTTTGTTTTGTTTTGTTGTTGTTTGAGACAGGGTTTCTCTATGCAGCCTTAGTTGTCTTAAACTCGCTCTGTAGACCAGGCTGGCCTTGAACTCACAGAGATCTGCTTGCCTCTGCCTACCGAGTGCTGGGATTAAAGGCATGCGCCACCACTGCCTGGCCGTGAGACCCTATTTCAAACAAACAAATGAAAATGAAGTCCCTCCTCGTCTATCACGTAGTGTTCTTGAAAGCCTGAGACGGATGGCTGAAGTGTGCCAGCTACTGAGTCTGTGGCCTATACTTCTCCTGGTGTCAGGTTCAGGATTCTGTGACCATTTGCCTTTTTTATCAACAGTGTCTTCCTTCCTGTTGTTATCAGATCTGTGCTGTTAGCCAGTTGCCCAACAATTCTTAGAGCAGCTTTTGTTTCCAGGGCTGAGTCTGGCTGCAAGTTCCAGGACCCAGATGGGAACTGGTCCAGAGCATCAATATCCACTCTTCAGAGAAGGGTCTAGACAATAAGTTGGGGCAGTATTTGAGTGGGCATCAGGGCCTGTTTGAGTCTTAGAAACAAACTCCAGCCCAGCTCCCAGGAGCAGTGAGGACAGCCCCACAGCACTGTGCAGCTTCTGTCTTCGCTTTCTTTACTCACTCCCTTTCTTGCTTTCATCCGTTTTCCTTTGTTTGCCAACCATGTTCTAACAAAAGTGTGGACAGAGGTATTGTGATCATATGTGGACCTGCTCTGCGTAAGTTCTAACTAGCCCTCTCCCTTTGTGTTTTTTGTTTTTGTTTTTCTCTCTCTTCCTGTTCTCTAACACTCCAGGTCCAGATAGTCTCCAAAAAAGTGAGCTACAGCCATATTCAATCCAAGTGTGGTTCCAAGGACAATATTAAGCATGTCCCTGGAGGTGGCAATGTAAGTATAAGCTCTGGTCAGATGGTATATGAGGCCTAGACTCTGGGAAACCCCGGCAAGAGGGCTCCCTTCCCTCATGTGACAGGATCTCAGTGGTCTGGGTTGGTCTCCTGCCAAGTGATGGGAGCTGGAGGCCTATATATGTTTTGGGGGTGTCCTAATGATCGGCTAGAGATACTCAGGTGGTCTCATCTCACCACCATGTGTGGGAGGCTTTGTGTTTTTCTCTACCTGAGCCAGAGACCTGCTGAGAGCTGAAGCTCCCATTGCTTGGGATGTGCAGACTTGCTGTGTGCCTGGGCAACCCCTGGGGGATCCCTGCTCTGAGACAGGTACCCATGTCTTACCAAGGCCTGTGCTTGAACCTTTGACGCTACATTATATTAGCCAGCATTTCTCTACCACTCCTGTTCCTACCTATGTTCTTCCTTGGTGTTCTCTCTTCTTTCTGCTCACCTTCCATCTTTTCCAGTCCCTTTTCTTTTTGTCTGTCCCATCTAAACATCCTCCTTGTTATCACAGTGCTGTTCATGTTAGCTCTTTGCATGTGTTGGGGGATGCTGGTGAGTACAGCTCACAGGGAGGTTCTGGTCCAAAGAAACAGCTCAGAGGGTCATCATCCTTCAGTGGGTGTTCCCTGCTTGTTCCTGTGGTAGTGCCTAGGCAAGTAGAAGTCTACAGAGTACCCAGGGCACATTACTGGGCCCCTGCCCTCATCTCTCATCTGAGAGAAACTGGCCCATTTTGGTTTGTCTTCAGTCCACCATCCTGAATTGGGGTGTTCTTCTTTTCTTTCTCCTTCTTTCTCTCTGCACCCCTGCTCCCCAAATTCTCAGGCCATTCTGCCCAGGTCTGCAAACACCCCCTGAAGTTTTATTTTGAGGAATGCAGCCAAGAGTGTTCCTTTTCCTAGTCAACCCCCTGCTTATACTTTCTAGTTAAAACTCAACAGTGGTTTTTTTTTTGTTGCTGTTGTTTTGTTTTCAAGACAGGGTTTCTCTGTGTAGCCATGGCTGTCTTTGAACCAGCTCTGTAGACCATGCTGGCCTCATACTCACAGAGATCCACCTGCCTCTGCCTCCCAAGTGCTGGGATTAAAGGCATGTGCCATCTACCGCCAGGCCATACTTTTTTTTTTTCTTTTTGAGACGGGTTCACAAACTTACGATTCTGCTGTGTCTGCCGCCTAGTACTAAAATCACAGGCATAGTGCTCCCCAAATGCTCCCAAACTGCATACCCAAAGAACATTGGAAAGAAAAGGAAGTCATGTGTTCATCTGTCCTATGTTTCAGCTGCTTTTGTAACTCCTCCCAATTTAAGATTTTATGACAATTTGGGTTCTGTTTCACCCTTATAAGGGGGAGAGTAAGTGCTCAGACCTGTGGGTAGCAAGTGCAAGGCCCTGGGTTCGGTCCTCAGCTCTGGGGAAAAAAAGTAAGAAAGAAAGAAAGAAAGAAAAAAAAAGACCAAAAAAACCCAAAAAGACAAAATAATAATAATAATAATAATAATAATAATAATCCCAGCCCTCAGGAGGCAGAGCCAGGCAGATAGATCTCTGTGAGTTCGAGGCCAGTCTGGTCTACAGAGCGAGATCCAGGACAGGCACCAAAACTACACAGAGAAACCCTGTCTCCAAAAACAAAACAAAACAAAACAAAATAGGTAAGTGGGGATGGAGAGATGGCTCAGTGGTTAAGAACGTTGACTGCTCTTCCAGAGGACCCAGGTTCCTTTCCCAGCATAACTGTCTGTAATCCAGTTCCAGAGGACCTGACACCCACGGCAAAGCACCAGTGCACATAAGATAAAAAGAAAGTATAGAGAGATAGATAAGAGTCTAATGTGGTGACACACTCCTGTGATCCCAGCACTTGATTTCAAGGCCAGCCTAGTCTACATATTGAGTTCCATAACATCCAGGGCTACATAGAAAGACCCTGTCTCAATGATAAATGAATAAAATCAACAAACCAAAACTCACAGAGATCTGCCTGCCTCTGACTCCCAAGTGCTGGGATTAAAGGTGTATGCCACCATTGCCTGGCATTTTTCTTTAATCATAGGATCCTTCTATACAATTAACTCTTTTGTTTTAAGCTACTTGGTGGGGGGTGAATGAACTTCATATTCTGATCTAGCATCTTTAGGTGTATGTGTGTGGCACACACACTCAAGCCACAGCACATGGGTAGAGATGAGAGGGCCTCTTTGATCAAGTTCTTCCGTCTTGAGATAAAGTCTTTTGTTGTTCATCTGCTGCTTACTTCTGGGGATTCTCTTGTCCCTGCTTCTCTTCCTCCGTGTGAATTATAGGATGCGGTGCAATGAGTCTAGGTTGTATGTGATATCTGAAGAGCCGAAGTAAGAGCCTTATATTGTATGACAAGAACTTTTACCCACAGAGCTACCTCCCTCGTCCCTGTCTGTGGAGTGTTAATTTTGCTGTTTGTAGCCTGTGTTCTCATTTAGTATTCCTTTGTCCTGCAGTTTTCTTTAAACTAATTTAAGTTTACATTTTTCTCCCACATTTCGGCATGACTCCCAGGTCATGGCTTTTCCACATCAGCCCATTAGTTGTGTTTGTGGTGTCAGAAGAGTATGTCTTCATGAGACTCCAGCATCCTTTAGTTTGGGGCTGGAATACGTCGTGTTTCTCCCCCCCCCCCCCCCCCCCCCGCCCCCCAGACATCGTTTCTCTGTGTAGTTTTGCGCCTTTCCTAGAACTCGCTCTGTAGACCAGGCTGGCCTCGAACTCACAGAGATCCGCCTGCCTCTGCCTCCCGAGTGCTGGTATTAAAGGCATGCGCCACCACCACCGGCTGGAATATGTCTTTTTTTTTTTTTAATTTATTTATTTATTATATATACAGCATGTATGACTGCAGGCCAGAAGAGGGCACCAGATCTCATTACAGATGGTTGTGAGCCACCATGTGGTTGCTGGGGATTGAACTCAGAACCTCTGGAAGAGCAGTCAGTGCTCTTAACTTCTGAGCCATCTCTCCAGCCCTGGAATATGTCTTTTAATCAGAACTTTTTCTCACTGCCTTTCCTTCCTTTGAGGCATAGTTAGGAGATAAAGAAAGGGAGGCCTCGGGTGTAACTTCACATCATTTTGGAAAGTGTCCAGTCCCAGATTGACAAAGTGGTTTCTGTTAATTTCCCACAGGCGATCTCAGGGATAGTCACCCTTGCTTCAGTATACATTGGTGGGCTAGTTAAATAACAGCCAGATTTTTAGTTGAGGGCATGCACTTTCTGAGGTTACCAGAACACAGTATCCTGAAGCAGGAGGATTGCCTTAGACCAGATGTTCAAGGCAATCTATGTTAGTGGGAGAAATATCTTTCAAAGAAAAAACATAACATATAACCTTGGATGGCCTGGAATTTATGGAGCTCCAGCTACATCTGCCTTCTGGAGTGCTGGGATTAGAGGCCAGCGTGTACCAATACAACCTGAATGATCTTGTCAGGCAATCCATTCTCTTGATTATTTTCTAAACATACCAGTATCTGTAAATTAAAGCCTATGGGAAGCCTGAAGGAAGCAAGAAAGCAAATTGTGCATGGTCAGAACAGACTGTTGGGCACAGACTCTAGAGGCACACAGGACTGTGCCTCCAGCACTCGGACTGCTCAAAAGGAACAAGTATTCTTGGTAAAGTGGGTCTTCCGTGGCTAAGAAGCACATTTAAAAATCAATCTGAAAAATAACCACAGCCCCTATGTAAGATACTGTAATCCAGCACTATGGAAGCTAAGGCTGCATATTAGCAAAGGTGAATTTGTCTCAAAACAAAACATATGTTGCTAGCTGAGGATACTGCTGTTTTATAACCATACTTGTTGTTTTTATAAAATGGCTGGGCGGTGGTGGCGCACGCCTTTAATCCCAGCACTCGGGAGGCAGAGCCAGGCGGATCTCTGTGAGTTCGAGGCCAGCCTGGGCTACAAAGTGAGTTCCAGGAAAGGCGCAAAGCTACACAGAGAAACCCTGTCTCGAAAAACCTAAAAAATAAAATAAAATAAAATAAAATGTACCAGGTGGGGCTGGAGAGATGGTTCAGTGGTCATTTGATTGTCTCTACTCACATGACCGCTCACAACTATAACAACTCTCGTTTAGGAGCTCTGACTTCTTCTGGCCTTTGTGAACACCAGACATGCAGGTAGTGCACAGACGTAACATGCAGGCAGAATGCTCAAACACACAAATAAAATGCAAAAAAGATTTAAATTGATAACTTTATTCTACATTTTGAAGATTATTTTTTTGTAGAGATAGTAAATAACCTGAGTGCTGAGTATTTGCCGAGGGGTAGATGTATGCCAAATAGTACAGATCATTTGTGGCCCTTGTGTGCATTTTTGTTTTCCTGGGAGACTGATTGTATCATGAAGCCCGCAGAAGCATGTGGCTGTGCAGTTGATCTGGGGGACATGCATTGAAAAACACTGGAAGGAAATTCAGTGTTAGTCTAAGTTTCTATGGGAGAAGAGTTGATGGGTAAGGTTTTGAGACCAAACAAGATGGGCATTTTAGGAGAGCCTTGATGTTGGTGTTTGTATCCTGCGCAGAGGAGCAGCTCTGGAGGATGGAAAGGAAGACTTGGGACTGGGAGGTGGGGTCAGAGGAAAAGAGAAGGGCCACAGTAGATCATAGGCTCTTTTAAGCACTTAAGGATGTAGCCTTGTCCTTGAACAGACCTGAGATGGCGGTAACCAAGGGAGCTCATGAAGGGGGGCTGGGCTCCTCCATGATCTGTCTTCTCTCTGAGGATATTTGCTTTCTGTTCTTCTGCTTAGGTTCAGATTCAGAATAAGAAAGTGGACATCTCCAAGGTATCCTCAAAGTGTGGGTCCAAAGCTAATATCAAGCACAAGCCTGGTGAGTGTCTCTGCCTGTAGTGCTAAGACTCCCCGGTAGGTGGACCTTCAGAGGTTATCTTAGTGGCCTTCCTGCTAGGACCATTTCATCAAAACTCTTGAGCCAGAGCAAGGTGGTGGTGGCACACGCCTTTAACCCAGCACTTGGGAGGCAGAGGCAGGTGGATCTCTATGAATTCAAGGTCAGCCTGGGCTACAGAGTGAGTTCCAGGACAGCCAGGGCTACACAGAGAAACCCTGTTTTGAAAAACTAAAACAACAACAACAACAAAACAAAACACTCTGAGTCAGTTCTGGAAAGGGTGCCCAGACCCAACTTGAGATCCCTGGAAAGCACATATATGCCCTCTGGACATGGTAGCCAAATTGTAATTTCAGTGCTTGGAAGTTGTAGACATTATCCCTAGACAAGCCATATTTGCGAGTTCTGGGTTCAATTGAGAGAGATCCTTAAAGGATGTCTCTTGACACTTAACCTCAGGCCTTTATGAGCTTGTGAACCCACACACCTGCACTTACACACATGCCTATACACAACATACACATGAAAAATAAAGAAGAAAAACTCTGAGTTACCTCCCACCCCTTGGTGCCTGATAGAAGCAGCACAGATTTCCAACCATGCCAGAGATAGCAGCTGGGTGCTGCCTTTCTGTTGGAAGAGGGACAGTTTGTTGAGGCCATTTTGACAGCTGTTTCCTTGGTGACATTTCCATCCTGTCCCTGGCAATCTTGTGTGCTGTGTGCCTGGCACTAGTGACCTGGGCCAGCCTCCTGAATGAGCATGCTGGGAGCTAGTGTTGACGGAGTCAAGTGGTGGTTCAGACTCATGGCAGATCCAGTAACAAATGGAGCCCCCAAGCAGAGACTCCTTGGTGCCCGGCCTTACAAAAGAAGAGAGAGCTTTTAGAATGCTGACTGAACCTGAGGATCTGGTAGCTGTACCAGTGGCATTTCCTTGTGGCAGCATCACTAACAGTGTCCCACTGAGGCCTCTCAGGAGAGCCTGAGCACTTGGCCTTGGCTCATTCTCTGGTTCCTAGCCCACAGCAGACAGTGGGTTGTGAGGTCTTACTCCAAAACCAGATGTCTCCTGAGATCAGCTCCTAGGCCAGTTAAAGTGAAGGAACTGAAAGTCTCTCCCCTCCCCACACCCAGCAGGTTTGTTTTATTTTCATAGTTTTGTTGTGGTGGTTTTAACTTTTAGCAGTCCTCCTACTACTCATCCTTCCAAGTATTGGGATTGTGAGATCCAATTTAGAGTGTATTCTCTAGTGGAAGACCAAACACTGTGGTCTTTCATTGTTTATCCCACTCCCCTTTTGTCTGGAAAATCCATTTATGAGATAAGATAGCTCTTGCCCTAATGGCACTAAGGCCCGATGTTGCCAGGGCTATCCCTACAATGGGGAGGAAACCTGATAAGTTTGTCAGGAACGTGGCTAGGTGTGGGCTGAGTGCTGATGAACAGGGACGGAAGGATCAGAAGATGATTCCTGCCCAGTGCTCCCTTCTGGCAGTATGCTCTCAACTTTGTCCTTGTGTGCAAATATCCTTCACTTCTCCCCGAGCCTGAGAGCACTGGACCCTGTCCACCTTTTCTCAGCTCACACTTGTGAGCCTGCCATGTCTATTTTACTGTTCCTCCTTTCATGCTGGGGCTCGAGCAGTCAGTGTCTGGCTCCTCTCCCTGTCATTCACCAAGCATCACCTTGAGCAACTGTGCAGTCGAGCCCTGACTGATGGAGCACTAAGGAGAACAGTGGGGCCGGAGAGTCAAAAGCCAGCATCAGGCTGGGCCTCCAGTGGTTGTAGATCAGCCTTCCCACCAAGGGAGGTATTACCACTGCCTCTTGTCCTCAGGACCACCCTGGAGCTGCTCAGTGACCAGTTCCTTTGTCATTCCAGGAGGAGGAGATGTCAAGATTGAAAGTCAGAAGTTGAACTTTAAGGAGAAGGCCCAGGCCAAAGTTGGATCCCTCGATAACGTGGGCCACCTGCCTGCAGGAGGTGCCGTGAAGGTAGTGCGTGGGTCACCAGTGCAGAGCTAGAGTGGTGTGGGGACAGTGCAGTTGCAATGGGGCCTAGCAGGCCTGTCACCGCCCCTCAGTTTCTCCAGAAGTCGCATGTCCAGTCATCCCGTTGCTGTCTCCATTACCACCATTGGTCCAGAGGAGGCAGAGCCCCAGCCACCTCTCAGCTCCTGAGAACTGTGGCCTTCCTTATTGGGCACGTCTCAGCCATTTTCTGATGGAGCATGGTTGGGGCACAGGTGAGAAGGTAGACTGGCATTCTGCACATAGCTCCCTGGCTATCGTTTTACTCCAGAGACCAGTACTGCTGGGGGCCACCCTGCCCCAGACTCTGGGAGAGCATCAGGGCAGAGATGGACCTGCATGTCTGACGCTGGCTGGGCCTCTCCTCTCTCCTCCCTCTCCTCTTTCCTCCCACCTCTCTCCACAGTATTGTGAGACCTTTTGTGTGCCAAGATTCCATCTCCCCCTCATTCAGGGTCGTGGGCAGGTGGGGAGACCTGTGCAGGTAGCGGCTCCGGGCTCCCAAGGGTGAAGCTGCTGCTGGTACTCGGGGAAGACGAGCGGGGGCAGGGCCACAGTCTCCCTGCACCTTCCCTCCTCGCACGCACGCACGCACGCACGCACGCACGCACGCACGCACGCACGCACCGAGTGCTGGGCATTCTGCAGCCAGCCTTTCCTTTCATACTCTGCTTCCAGCCCTGGCTCCACCTCAGTTAACATTTTGGGGAACTTTGCTTTTAGAGTTTAACCTCCCAGACTTGAGAGGCATCATCCCTCCCTGTATGAGTGGGACGTTACAGATTTGGGGTCTGGTTCATGGCCACAGCAGGAAGTGAATGCACCCCAAGATTCACACCCAGGCTTTTCTGTGCCAAGTTTTGTGTTACTTTCTTTTTCCACTTTACCTCCCTAGCTGTTCCTTGTCTGTCTCCACTGTTGCCTGGTGGGCTTTCTGGAGCATAGTGGTCCAGCCCACTAAAAGCTCCCATTGTTGATGCTGAGTATCCTCCAGTTGGGCTCTATAAGGCCTTGAAATAAATGTTTCTGGCTAACACCTCTTTGGATACCTTCTTCCTGCTTCCTCTGTGTCCATGTGCCCATGAGTGATGCCAAGCATAAAAGATGCTGTACCATGAGGGGACCTTACCACACAGCAGATGAGCAGGCAGGGTGTCTACTTAGTTACCAAGGGCCCTCTAAGCATTGGCTGTGGTCTGGCAGGGGCCACCCCTATTTCCCAGCCAGGCCTAGTCCACTCTTGTGTGCTCTTCAGAGTTACTGTTGCTTGTGTCTTAGCCATGTTTTATTTGGTATCAACCTTGGTGAGATTCACAGAGTTCCACAGTGAGACTCCCGAGAGTATCATTAACCCCCCACCAGCTCAGTGGTGGGGAAGAGAGGGTAGACACCTGGTATAGAGCCAGTGCTTGCTGGGGGTGTGGGTTGGGAAGGCTGTATATGAGACCTCACCGCCATCACCCATCCCACTCCCTCCCCAACTGACCCTTCACTGTCTCCCCCACTGTTTCATTGTAGACTGAGGGCGGTGGCAGTGAGGCCCCTCCGTGTCCGGGTCCCCCTGCTGGGGAGGAGCCGGCCATCCCTGAGGCTGCGCTTGACGCTGGCGCCCCTACTCCAGCCAGTGGCCTCAGTGGCCACACCACCCTGTCAGGGGGTGGTGACCAAAGGGAGCCCCAGACCTTGGACAGCCAGATCCAGGAGACAAGTAAGTGGCTGGGCTTGGCCTAAGGGCCAGCCAGGGGCCCTGTCACTGGCTGAAAATTGAAACTCCTTTGTTTTATGACTGGAGTATGGCCTAAATTTTAACAAGGTGACCTTTTGTCTTCCAGGCATCTAACGATGACATTCTGGTCTCGTCTTCCATCCCCCCGTGTCCCCTTCTTGTCTCCCCTTGTTGCCCTCTCCCGTCCCTCCTCACGTGTCCCTGCAGATTGAGACCTACAGGCTGACGTTCCGGGCAAATGCCAGGGCCCGCACCGACCATGGGGCCGACATTGTCTCCCGGCCTCCCCACTTCCCTGGCTGCCCAAGCTTGGGGGCCCGGGCCCTGGGCTCCCTTTCCCGGGCTGTCTACTAGACCTGTCAGCTCTTGGGGGCTGGGCAGCCCTTTAGGCCTCTTTCCCTCCTGCCTAGCTTGCTCAAGGCGGCAGCAGCCTCTGCTGCCTTCACCTCCTTCCACCCTCTTCCGGGCCAGCTCCAACTTTACCATCCCACCACTGCTCCATGGAGAGAGTTGGGGCGGCGATGGGAGTCTAATGGGATCTCTGTGGGATCTAGGGGTGGGGTGCTGGATTTCAAGAAACTGACAAACCCTCCCTCTCTTCCCTGGTTCAACCTGGAGGGACTAGTAGAGGTGAACTCCAGGTTGTGACCAGCACTGACCGAATCCCCTGGAACCTTGACCCCACAGAGGAAGCCACCCTGTAGGTTGTTGTATCAGGCCCTTTGGCTGCCCTGCTTCAAGTTAATCAGGGGTCCGCTGCCCTTGTCCCCACTGCTTATACCTGAGTAGCTGCTGCCTCACTTTTGTCTTGTTTTAGTCTTTTTTCCCCCTCCCAATAACCCATGAACTGGTAGTATAGTTTGCAGGTTGAAGGCATGTCTAAAGAGAGTTCTCAGTAGGTGATGGAGGAAGCAAGGGGGAGGTCCTGAGTCTCCACTGAGGAGGCTGTCAGTTATTGGGGGCTGCCCCACTGTGGGTCGCTTGGGGCCCAGTGGGAAGAAAGTGAGAAGTGGGACTGCTGCCTAGTCAGCAGTCGGACAACTAGGGCGGGCCAGTGGGACTGGCTGTGCTGGCATTGTGTATGCTGCTTTCTTTTTCTAACCAAGAGGCTGGTTTTGGCATCTGTCTTCTTCCCTGGGAACTGGTGGTCAACGTGTGATACAAAACCAGGCCTGGAGAAACAGAAATGATGGTCAGAATCCCTGACCTGCACTTGCAGGCCAAGGCACCCAAGCCCTCATGTCCAGGGGAGCCTGAGCTGTCGAGAATGCATGTGAACAGTGAAGAATCAGGTGTGGAAATTTCAAACTAAAATGCATGAGACCTGGTGTGACTGGAGAGGAGCAGGAGAGGCCAGGCCCTTCGTGGTGGTACAGCCATCCCAGCATAGTCTGTTTATGGGTGGGATGGCTGCAGTGCTGAGATATCCTGGGAATTATATCAACACAAGATTCTTATTGCACTTGTATTTTTTGTATTAAAGTTTGCATGGTTTCTAATAAAGGATTCAAACCTAAGTTTGTAGTGAAATGGCCTGGGAGTGTCTAAGGGCTCCTCTGGTGGGGCATTTTCTGCTGCGCAGATTTGCCTGTCAGGAGGCTGGCCCAGATCTGACCCTCTTGGCCCTCCTCCTGACACAGCCTCCACCTCTGCTCCAGGTACAGCTTGAGCAGGTAGAGGTCTGTACTGTCTCTGCCCAAGGAAGTCATCCCTGGGACTGAAGGTCCTGGACAGTTTTGAGGCAGCAGTTTCCTTTCAGAAATCTTGAAACTAAATCCCTAGCTACACACACACACACACACACACACACACACACACACACACACACACACACACACACACACACTCTCTCTCTCTCTCTCTCTCTCTCTCTCTCTCTCTTTCTCTCTCTCACACACTTGCAGGGGCCTGTGGACTGCCTGAGCCAGGGAGTGGCTTTCTTCCCAGGCCGTCTGTAGAACGCTGCATGGAGCATTCAGTGTCAGTATTTTTCTAGCAAGAGGGAATTGGGCAGAAGGAAGCAGTGGGGACCAGGGTGCTGGTGGCTGAGGGCATAAAGGTACTTGCTACCTTCCTTGATGTCGATCCTGGGGCCTTGAGGATGCTGAGATTGACAAGAGTCCACTGGCCAAGGATTAGAGGGGAAGGTGGCCCAAGCTCTCTAGGTAGACTCTTAAGAGGCCCAGCTCCCTGGAGTGGTCCCACAAGTCAGGAGAACCTGAGAAGGCTGATCTGGCTGATTGGGACTGTAGGCCATCTGATGTGTATACTTTGCAAGGTTTGGGGATGAGATCTTTCTGTACTTTGTTTGCTCATAGCTTAGCCATTACGAGTCTGTAACTGTACTGATTTAAACAATAAAGCTGCCTGACAACCCACCACCCAGGCTGTGTTGCTTGTCACCCGTGAGTCCCCATACCTACTTTACCCCCTTGTCCCTTCAGTTCCTCCTCCCTCAGCTGTGAGACACAAGTGTGGCCAAGGACCCTGCAGGACCGTCACACAAATCAAGGCTGCCTAGAAAAGTGCTGTGTCAATGCTGAGACTCGCAAAGCAGTTGAAATGTGTTGACAGCTCTGGTGGTTCATTCTTGAAGAGTGGAGGTTTTTAGCCCCTTCCTCCCTTAGGACTTGGGCCATAGCCAGTTCTGTATCCCCAGCAGTAAGCATCTCTGGTCCGCCTGAATTGGGGCCAAGAGCCCAGAGTCCTGAGAGGAACCCTTAGTAGGACAGCAGTATTCACAAGGGATAAATATAACTTTATTTTAAATAAACATTTGCACTCTGTACACAGCCCCAGCGGAAGAGGGACTCAGTCATCAGCTGTCTTGCGCACATCAAAGCTGCCACAAGGTCCCCGCAGCAGCTCTGCCAACAGTGCAAGCAGCTGCCCATGTTCCTGCTGCACACTGAGTGGAAGTGCAGCTAGCTCACTGCGGAGGCTCCGCTCCACCATTCGGCCTAGGGCTCGCCGCAGCTCCCTTAGCAACCGCACAGTTCGTGAATCACCTTCTAGCCGCAGCAGGTCACTGTCACTCAGTGAGATGGTGGCCCGGCGCCCGTCATCTGGAGAAGGGTAAAGACGGGGAGTCTGTGTTGGCCATGCCTCTGAGGCCATGAGTAGGCCTTGGAGTGGTGGAAGGGAGGGTACCCACCACGGATGTGGACGTCCCCATCTGTTAGGAGCAGCACAGCTAGCGGGTGCACCTGGGAGGAATCGCGAACAAAAACGCTACCATTGGACTTGACGGCCATGAAATATGTCAGCCATCGGCTCCGTAACCGGGTAGCCTCCCTAGGGAACAAAGTGTTGTGTGATGTGAAGCCACACCTCTGGCCAGTCTCTGAGGCCCTCCCTATCTAATCCTGCCTGCCACCTACCTGTTAATGGTCGATTTGTGCAGCAAGATGTTGCCAGATTTGGTCCTGTAAGTGACACTGTTAGGCTTGAACTTCCCCTGCCGAGTCACCTTACCTTGCCTCACCTAAAGGGACAGAGGAAAATGTTGAGCAAGGAGCTAGGGGTGGAGAGAGGTAGGGACCTGGTCAGCTTCCTGTCCTAGAGGAGGCACCTGGATGAGGTTGGGGTAGAGGCCCGCCATCAGCACCCCCTTCACCAGCTCCTCTTCCTCGCTGTATTCATTGCACTGAGCAGAGGGCAGTGTGCAGTCAGAGGGTTTTCCCACTAGGAAAGCCTCGTAAATGTTCTCCGAGAACTGCTTGATGAGCCCTGGGGAGGCAAAGTGCAGTGTGAACTGAGGCCCTGCCTCGAGGCTGGGGATGGGAGCTGATGGGAGCTCTGTGGGTGGGAGGTGCTCAGGAAGGCCCTCTTGGGGGCCAGGCTGACCGTGGATGAAGCGCAAGCTGGGGGCGTACAGAAGGTTTTCTTCCAGGTAGTTTTCCCTGGAGGTACGGTCCTGCCAACGCAGCACCTCCTCCCAGCCAGCCACGGCACGCACGAAGGCCAAATGGTCACTACCACTGTCATGGCTCAGCAGTGCCTTCACCTGGGAGAGAATGTCCAGGGGTCAGGACAATGGGTGGGGTATGAATAAAACAGCAAGAGGGCTATAGGAAGCACTGGATCTAACCTTGTCTACTTCTGCCCGGTTCTGCAAACTGCTGCTGAAGGGGTCCCGGGTAAGGCAGGAAACAACCACCAGCAGTGGGTGCAGGCAACGGAAGATGGCAGCCAACACTATGGCCTTGGCCAGCCGGGGGTCAGTAGAGATGTGGGCCAGGCGCTGCCCCAGGGTGGTCAGGTACTCCCGCTGGTCCAGCACCCCTGCAACAGCTCAGCTGTCAGTCCCACCCATAAGCCACTCCACAGCCCAACCGCTCCTAGCCTCCATTTACCAATCTCCTGGAGCAGTATCACAGCCTCATCCACTGCCTTGATATTTGGACTGTCCACAGCCTTAGAGAGGAACTCCACTGCCTGCAGCAACAAGAACCAACCACACCCCCATGAGCCTGTGTCCCACTTGCCCTGTCCAGGAGTAAGCCCTTCCCCAGCCCTGCCTCTGCCGCACCGTCTTCTCAGGCATGTGGATTTTGGCTTGCAGCACCAGGTTCTCCAGGGGTGTGCGCAGGATCTCTGGCACTTGGAAAGGAACCATTTTCTCCAGCCGGCTCCTCGGGAACAAGTGGTAGGCAAAACCTGACTGGCAGCGGCCTGCTCTGCCCCGGCGCTGAATCACGTTTGCTCTCGACACCCACACAGTCTCCAGGCAGGACACCTGGGGGAAGGCAGGAAACCTACACGTCTACAGGTCTTGTCTGCCCACTTCTCCGGTCACCCTCATCACCCCTCAACAGGGACATTGCCCCTAAGTGTGGCCTTCACACAAAAAGGATGTCCACAGTAGATGGAGACTAGGGGCCACCTCAGAACAGGAGTCCTCCCCCAATGGATAGGTTGGGTCCAAGAGAGAGGCACCACCTTGGTCTTCAGGTCATAGCGTTCCTCCTTATGCAGACCGCTGTCCACGACATGCACGATGTCGTTAACTGTGATGGAGGTCTCTGCAATGTTGGTGGCCAATACAATCTTACGAACCCCAAGTGGAGGCTGCTGGAATATGGCCTTCTGATCCATCATGGGGATATTGGAGTGTACTGGTGGATACAAGATACAAAAGGGCTACAGGCACTGTTCTAACCAGAAGAGTCTCAGACTGAGGGCAGGACAAGAATTTGGATTCCCCACCCATTCCTGGCCCCCATAAGCTGAAACCATTTGATAAAACACACCCTCAGAGAAAAATGGTCAAATATTCAGAAACTGGGGCCACTTGAGTACAGGCTGGGTCACTCCCACAG